GAAGAGGCCCCGCTCCGTTCTATGTAGCTACAATGCAACATCTTTGAAAAAAAATAGCAGCAGGCTTTGTACATGTTAGCAGCTGTCTCAATAGTGGCCTACCAAAGCCAGTTTGGTGTAGTGGTTAAGTGTGTGGACTCTAATCTGGGAGAACTGGGTTTGAATCCCCACTCCTCCGCTTGCAGCTGCTGGATGACCCTGGGCAAGCTACAGTTCTGTCAGAGCTGTTCTCTCAAGGGCTGTTCTATCTCACACCTATCTCACAGGGTGTCTGTTGTAGGGAGGGGAAGGGAAAGGAGTTTGTAAGATGCTCTGAGACTCCAAAAGAAGGGCGGGGTATAAATTCAATCTCCTCCTCCTCCTCTTCCTCCTCCTCCTCTTAAATTGCAGTCCTAAGAATTATTATTATTTACTGAATTTCTCAATCACCCAATCCCTGAGTACACAGGGCTCTGGGCGATTTCCAACAAGAGAAAAACATACCGAAAAATACAGATTAAAATCACGAGATCAATCATTCCTATTTTGATAATCTCCAGATGGCGTCCATAATTTAATCCAAAACCTACTCTGGGCTGTTCTTCTGTCTCATGGGCAGGTTAAGGAGGAGGCCGAAGTGGGCAGGATGGAAGAAAAGAGGAGGGTGCCAGCTATGATGGAAAACTGCTGTTGTTCTCAACCAAAAGCCTGGCAGAAGATCTCTGCTTTGCAGGCCCCATGGAACTGCATTACGTCCAGCAGGGCCCTGATGTAAATTGGCAGAGAATTCCCCCAGGTTGGTGCCACAGCCGAGAAAGAAGGCCCTGGCTCTGGTCGAGGACAGCTGGATATCTTTGGGGCCAGGGACCACCAGTCCAGCTTGAGTCACTGTCTAGCTTGGGAGTGAACCCCACTGAATAAAATGGGAGTCACTTTTGAGTAGACTGGTTTAGGATTGCTCCCATGATCTTAGTTTCAGTGAGTAACTGTCTTAGTCTGCAACAGAAGAGCTAGAGTCTAGCTGCACCTTGTTGTTGTTGTTCAGTCGCACAGTCGAGTCCGACTCTTCGCGACCCCATGGACCAGCTCCCGCCAGGCCCTCCTGTCTTCTGCCGTCCTCTGAAGTTGGCTCAATTTCATGTTCGTTGCATCGATGACACTGTCTAACCATCTCATCCTTTGCCGTCCCCGTCTTCTTTGACCTTCAATCTTTCCCAGCATCAGGGTCTTCTCCAGTGAGTGCTCCCATCAAGATTTTTGAGGTATGAGTTTTCAAGAGGCAAGGCTCAGGGAGGCGAGAATTGAAAGTTCATACCCTGAAGATCTTGTTAGCCTCTAAGGCAGGGGTGTCGAACTCACTGGCACTGTGTTATTTAAAGTTTTAAAAAATCTTTAATTGTGTCCTTTATAAAGTTTATATTTCCGCTACCTGGCATTACCTTTTATGACACACATGGCCCGGCCCAAAAAGGTCTCATTTATGTCAGATCCGGCCCTCATAACAAATGAGTTCGACACCCCTGCAGGGGATACTTGATTCAAATCTAGCTGGTCTTCCATAATCTTGTAGTGTTTTAGGAGGCAAGCAATTTTCAGTTGCATACTGTAGATTCGGGTCTCCCACATGTTCCAGTTTTGGGTTTCATTATGTCTGTGTGTATTTATTATTATAGCCAACCCCCCTCAATATTTTATTGCACTTTTATTTGGACGTTTATTTTATGGATATTGTTAAACTATCTTGGGCTTTTGCTAGAGGAAATAAATGTGGCCTATGAGCAGGGCTGGCAAGATTATGCATAAGGAATGATGCTTGTAAGCCTTGTTACGCAAATCAAAAACATGTAAATGGCATGGCATTTTTTCTTAACCGTACATATTTTATATATTGTCACAGATACATGTTAATTATCTTTAATACTGAAGCAGAGAAACGTATGCAGGAAAGGCACGAAAAGTTTCCAGAGACTAAAAACAAGAAAATCACTCATCAGCTGCTGACAATTTTGAAAAGAAACCCTGCGATAGAAGAGAATAGTGGTTGAGATGCATACTCCCCTCACCTCTCACCTCACCATAAAGGAGTGTTTGGGAATTGTTTCTCCCCAAAAGGGAGAGAATGAATGCCTCATATTCTGAGCTCGTGTGACCAGCCTGCACAGTTCCCAGTGTGGGGCTACACAGAGACCACACCAGAACAATGCAAGTTCTTACTCTGCGGATTCAAGAACAGCTCCTAGTCCAGCCCCGCTTCCCCAGTCATTATTGCTTCTGTGCTCTTGTGCCAAGTGGGGATGTATTTAACGGACTGTACTCCACATCATCTTAATTAGCTGGCAACTCTTCTTGGTTCAGGCCCAGACTGCTCACAAGGCCCTGATTGTTTAAGGCCTCTGACTGATATTATTACCAAAAATTGATTTCATCCACATGACAACATGCTCTAATGCTCTTCATATAAGGAAGCCTTTGTGACACAAGTTTCTTTTTCAAAAGTAACTCTAAAAAAACCCCGATAGGCTCTTTGGGCTAAACTCTCTGCAGACTTCCAGCCGTTTTTACTGTTAGTATCAGATGTGATCAGGTGAACAACAAGCTAAGAAATCAGGAGATTCGTAGAGTATTCCAGTATGGATATCTAGATTCTGCCACCCGTGTGTTTTAAAGGATAAAGCTGGATACCATTAAAAACATGCAATAACTACTCCAACACTCACCCGGTCTCCTGGCCGCACCATTGGTTCTTGCTTCGTGCCTAATTTATGCAGAATGTTGTATGCGACCTTCATACTACGGGTCCAAAGTTTGCCTATTCATAATACAAATTGTAAAGTCACCTTTAAAATGGATTACACAGTTTTGTTCTAAACAGGATTCAGACAGTTTTTATTCTTTCTCTCTTTCTCTCACTCACTCGCACCCACATGCATGCACACAAACAAATGTTTGTCAAAAGGCTTTGGTAAGTTCTGAAGGGCAAATCTGGTATTCCAGTGCACAATATGGTCTTGTCATTTAAGATACCAAGAAATCCTTCAAGCTATTACACTTATCCAATCCCATTGGATCCCCAGACTAACTATGATACTATGTTATGCTACAGAATTGGCTCCTTTTACCAAAACTGAGGACCCTATGAGACACTAAGCCACAGCAAGCAGTTCTGTACAGTTAATGGCTTAGAGCCAGCGTGGTCAAAGTGTCAAACTAGGATCTGGGAAGATCCAGGTGTGAATCCCCATTCTGCCACAGAAACTAGCTGGGTGACCATGGGCCAATCATTCTCTCTCATCCGAACCTACTTCATAGGGTGGCTGTTAGGAGGATAAAATGGGAGGGAGAATGAAATAAGCTGCTCTGGGTGCCCACTGGGAAGAAGAGCAGCATATAAATATCTAAATAAAGAAAGAAGTTTATTCAGACTCTGCAGAAGCCAAGGAAGGCTTCAATCCAGTGCAGCTTTGGTTGCTTGCAACACACCCACCCCACCGAGAAAAGTGAAATCAGCCCATGAGACGTCTACCAAACACAGCTTAACAAAGCCAAAGTATGGCCCCGGTCACACGAGCTGGATATCGCGGGGGAAGGCGTGGCTAATTGCCCCGGAGGAAACTAATGTGCGGCCGCCCGAGCACACGTCCCGGTCGAGGTCCCGTGGTTAGGGGGGAGATGCCGACCAGACGGGTATCCTGCAGCGCGGCACAGAAGCCGTGCGGTGCGATCGCACTAGCAATCGCTCTTTGTGCGCATGCGCTGTTGGGCGCTGTTGTGCAACCTGCGGAGCCGGGCGCAGGATGCCACATAAGTCCACCGGAAACGCGATCAGACGCCCGCCCTTGGCCCGCGGTTTCCGGAAACTAGTACCTCGTAAGTACTAGTTTTTTAATCCGCACCTTTGGCGGGGACCCACGGGTTTGCCACGGGAGCACTGCGCTTCCCAGATGTTGGGGTGTGATCGCGCCTGGAAACTCCGTGGGACTCCCGTGCCTCTCCCGCAGCAACTTTGCCGTGTGACCGGGGCCTATGATTGCCAAACAACTGGCAAACCACACTATATGCCTGGTAGCTGAAAAGGTCTAGGGTAATTTGGAGATAGGAGAAGAGACAGCACAGTCCCAAGAACGAAAAACCCACTTAGTCTGAAATGTCAATTCAAAGAAACTTCCTTCCAGGAATGCATTGCTTTTATGACTGTTTCAGTGCCATATTGCACCATATGTTAGATGAGGTTTTAAACAACCATTTCTAAAATTTCTGTTCAGTTCATGCGTGAGAATTTTCTTCTAACAGCCACTAAGATTCTTTTGTTCCTCCCCAAAGGAGGAGCTGAATACAGGAAGACAAAAAGCCGTTGAATATGGCCGTGTGCATCATGACCAGAAGCTTCCCAATTCTTGCTACTCTTTTCTCCCCCACAGTAAATCAAGGTAGAATGCTGATGAGCTGCTACGGTATTAGGAAGATGACACACCAATCCATGGTGAATTACCTTTAAAAACATTTTCATCTGGACACAACAGCATGAATACAGTTTACAACTCTGAAGGGAACAGAGCAGCCATTGTTAACAAAGCTCTCTGTATGATTTTTGGAGCGTCACAGAACTTTGGATCATAACCATGGATCTTTAATCACATACAAAAGCCACTTGACAAAAGTTTATCAAAGGCTGCAGTCACACACACTGAATAATCCACTTTCAATCCACTTCCAGTGCACTTTTCAATCGGATTTTACTGTGTGAACTAGAAAAATCCAGTTGGAAAGTGCATCGAAAGTGGATCGAAAGTGGATTATTTAGTGTGTGTGACCGCAGCCAAAGTGTAGTTCGCCCTGCTTTTTGTCTTGCGCAAAACCCGCAAGTTTACAGGAAGCCAACATATTGGGACCAAAGACTCTATGTAAGAGCCCGCTATCTTTTTTTAGTCGAATACAAGCTCTAATAAGTGTCACCCTCTGTATAATGAGGACTGAAGCAACTGCTGCAGTTTTCCCCCTTGACAGCACAAGGGAGTCCGATCCCTTTCTGTTTGCCCGGCAAGATTTATTGCTTTGTTCTGTGCTGCTCTCAAACTGGCAGACAGTAGCAGGCCTACCCTACGAAGGGCATGATTAACAGGGAATTTTCCCCACGCAAGACATGCTCTTGCGTAACATCCAGGAGAGCTTGCTCAGGAGAAGTTCCCGAGTGACTGTACCTAGAGGCAACATCTTTAAGCCTAATCCAAATGCATGACCACGGAAACGTCTTCGGACAGCGCTGGCTCTTCAGCTTTGAAGCGGAGATGAGCACCGCAACCCTAGAGTCGGATTCGACTGGCTTTCGAGAAAGGGAACCTTTACCTTTAAATGAGACTAAGTGAGGTGCTGATCCCCTTCGGTCCACATTAAAGGCATTAAACCTACTGAGAAAGTTCCATCAGCAAATGCCTCTGTGAACTATTTCCAAGTCATTACTGTGCAGACGAATTATTTAGTTTCGTGATAATTAAGGAAGGGATATTTCAAACTAAGAATTCACAGGCAGAATTGAAGGGAGAAGCAGTAAGGTCAAAAATTTTAAATGAACATGAACCTTATATCTACCGGTAGGTAAGCAAGAGAAGGCAGAAGTAAACCTGAGGTCAGGCAGGCCTCTTTACACAAAACACTTTTGATGGAAAAAGAAAAAAGGTCAACCGTGCCACTTCATACTAAGCCATCTCTCTTCTGCATTCGGAAGTGCCAAGAATCACAGAACTACCCATTAATACAACAGGCAAAAGGGTCCTAATCTAGTCACCTTCCGAACATGCACATTTTCTAAATGGCAAGTGTGTTTGATGTGAGGCCTATCCCTCCCCTCCTGCTTTTGTGTTCTGACCTGTAGACTGGATCTAAGCAAGAGCTGTTGATTTCAATATGATTGAACACCCATTAAAGCAAAGAGGCTTAAGTGCACTCTCTGACAAGCAAAACTGACAGGTTTGCAGCTTACCAAATCATACCCAACATCAATTAAATACGTTCCGAAATGCTTTTCTTAGGACAGCTTTGAGCATGGCCCAGAAGCACCGATAATGCAGGAGGCTGTTATGCATCTTCCTTCCGGTGCTGGCCAGACTCTTACAGCAAAGCTTTCTTCACTCTTTAGGCAAAAATAAATGCAAGCCTCTATGGTAAAAGCACAAATACTATTTTTTTTTCCTGGTTGTTCCCAAAAGCCAATTACCCAGATGACCCCTAAAGTGTGCCATAATCTTTTGTACGGCTGCCAGCAGTGTTCCCTGTAAGCTGAGTTGGTGTGAGCCAGCTCACAGTCTCTTAGCCTCCGGCTCACACCTTTTTGCCTTGGCTCAGGAAGGATGGCTCCAGAGCAAACTAATTTATGCAGCAGCCCAATCGCTCGCTCAGAACTTTAATTCCAGGAGCTCACAGAGTAGAATCTTTGCTCACAGGACTCCACAGCTTCGAGGGGGCGTTGGTTGCCAGGTATACTCTGGCCTCAAGTGGGGGATGGGGGGCAGGGCTGCCAGATTCAGGCTGGGAAACTCCTGGAGATTTGGGGATGGAGCCTGGGGAAGACAGAGACCTCACTGGTCCACCCCTCCAAGACATCCGTTTTCTCCAGGGGAATTGATCTCTGTAGTCTGGAAGTGAGCTGTAATTCCAGGGGATCCCCAGGCCCCACCTGGAGGCTGGCATCCCTAAGATATCAAAGGATTTATAGCATGAAGCTTTCTGGCTAGGTGTCCCTCTTCCACTAGATCATAAAAACGTGTAAAGTGTAAAGACAGCCAGACAACAAAGCTTATGACAGAGAAGTATGTCAAGAGAAAAGCACATGAGACGAGGTCAGTCTTCATATCATGAACAGTAGGACCGTCGTCACCGCACGACACCACCTCAGTCACAGCAAGCCAAAAGAGTCTTACCAAGACGCCATCCAGCAGTTCAGAGTTTGCAAAATGGCAGCTGCAAATAATTGTTAGGGTTTTTTTCTCTCTCTCTCCAAAATATAAAAAGGCTGCATTCAACTATAAGCGGTGCAATCCTAAGCAGAGTTACACCCTTCCCCTCTGAGCCCATGGGTGCAGAAGAGTATGACTGCTTAGGATCACATCGAAAGGATATGTCATTTATTTCAGCAGTATATTTTTGCAGACCACCTTTCAGACACAATAGCTCCCGACGAGATTTATAATAAAAACAATCTGCCGTCAAAGTCATACAACCAATCTGTTGGGGCAGCAGGAGGTGGCAAGTGAGCGATGTTCATTTGTTCCCCCCACCTCCTCTTAGCTTCCTGGCTGTCGCTGTTTTTCCTTTCCTTCTGAACAGATGCAGAGAGCAGAGCCCTGCAGCACTGGGTATTGATCTTCTTCCTTAAGTCTTGCGAGTCTGGATCTATCCTCGTAGAGAAAAGGCCAAGGACAGCAGCAGTCCAAGGCCACTCTGAGGCCTCCGCACAAGAGAAGAAAAAGCAGAACTCGGAAATCTTTTAATAAAACCGATATTTGCTGCAATTTCTAGCTGCCTCGTGAAAGGGCAGCCATATAGACACTGGCGGAGCAGAGGGCTGGTGGTGCGCGAACTGGTCATCATTTCTGAATGGCACCCAAAGGTATAGCTGGACTGTCACAGCACAGGCACTGTGGCTGTATCAATGCCTACAGCATCTAATACAAGCAGTGACATTGGTCTGGGACAGCACAGACTGCTAAAGACCTCTGGCAAATAGAAATGTCTCCCAGACTGTTTAATAAAAGCATTCCTTGATGTTGAGAAAAGGCAAGATGGACTGATTTAGGGAAGACATACACATTAGTCTCTGCATCCAATTCCTGTGTTGGGATGTACATATGCAAAAATGGTTGCGTAAAGGGTATGCAATACATGGATTCATGAACACAGACAACGCGATATTACAGAATCTGGTTTTGTAATTCAGAAAGCAGCTGGGTAATAAGTCTCACTCAAGAAGTTCCCAAAGGCAAACCCTCGCTATGTAATCTTGGTGTTGTTTTGTTTTTAAAGTTAACTTGAGAGAAGAGAAGTTAGGCTCCCAGGGCATTGGCTGAAGGTATATGATACACCAACCTCCTGCAGTTGTCAGGTCAAGATTAGGAAGGGCAACTGCACGAAAATCCCATACAGTATTACCAAACCCAGTTAACAATGGTTCTCCAGAAAAGGTCTATCCCAACTACCACAGACCCTTTAACGGGAGATTCCTGAATCCAGCACGGAAGCTCGTAGACACCAAGCAGTAAACTACATCCTCTTCCACAATTTGTGTCCCTCTGTACTGGCTTCTACATTAAACTGAGCACACAGAGTGCTTAATTTGTGCATAAAAATTTCCAGTCATCTCTCAACACAAAGCATGTTTTAAATAATCCAAGAAAGCACACCAGGTATATTGGACAATAATCAACTAGGAAAATCCATGGAGGAAAAAGTTGTCTCAGACTTTGGGAGGCTGCTTACCGTAAGTGAGAATATATAGTGGCTTTCCATTGGTGTCCATAGTGGTTAGGCAAGGAGCTTTCGGAGAAATCGTCCCCCATCGTTGTAATGCTGCTTCAAGTGATGGAGGCCAATTCGTGACCACGCCCAGTTGTTCTCCTCGCATAGCCAACATCTGAGCTCCCTCTGGCCTTGGTTGGTTTGGGTCTGGCTGTTGAACTTACAGTTATAAGAGAAAGTTACTTTATACATTTTACACCATTGCGAAAATTAGACATTGACCTCTGAAAGGTCATCTGAGAAGAACAAAAACATGAAATCCGAGCTGTGAATGCACTGTTGCAGATACTCAGATCCAGTTTACACATCACAGTCAAGCCATAAGTGGGCTGATGGGAGGGTGTTGTAGGCTCCTGCACTCCCCCAACCCCAGCCCCAGACTGGATTCAGTGGTGCATTTCCATGGGCAGAAGGATTTCCAATCACGAGGCACAACCTTCTCATCTTTCCCGTCCTGTTGCTGGCCCAAATGCCCCTGAAATACTGCTCCCAGAATTTCCGGCCATGGAAATTCTTTTCTTGGAATGAATCTCTTGCCTAGATTCTGGCCCTTCACTTCCTAGTTCACAGTAAGAAGAAGAGTTGGTTTTATACCCTAGTCTTCACTACACAAAGGAGTCTCAGAGCAGCTTACAATCTCCTTCCCTTCCTCTCCCCACAACAGGCACCCTGTGAGGTAGGTGGGGCTGAGAGAGCTCTGAGAGAATTGTGACTGACCCAAGGTCACCCAGCTGGCTTTGTGTGGAGGAGTGGGGAATCAAACCCGGTTCTCCAGATTAGAGTCTGCCACTCTTTACCACTACATCAAGCGGGTAACCAGAATTTATGCCTGAATGAATTAAGCCTTTGGTTAACAGCAAACGTGGGCTTTTGTGATTTGGATGTCATGGTAAACTATGGTTATTACAAAGCAGGAAAATGGAGGAATAAAACTGACACGTGCAATGGGAGTGCATGAGCCCAAATATATTCACAACCAATGGCATCTGACGATATTTTCCATTTCTACTAAAAAAATAATGCCCAAAGAATCCAGCCTCTGGGTCTGCCACACTGTTAAAGGGAGCATAAAAGGGCCGTTTACTGTAGTCAAGAGGGGAACAGTGTTTCCTAACTAGCAACTAGTAAGAAATGGCAAGGCATTAATATTTATCCATTTGTTTTTCTGGCTCACGTTGTACGTTCACAGTTTCACGACTGCAGTTTACAGGTGTGAATGAGCCATCTAAGATCAAACCCCAGAGGGAGACTTACGTATCATTTTATACATTTTATACGCAACGGTTTTCTTACAGAGTCAAGTCATACAGCAAACCAAGAGTCACATGCTGAGCAACTGAGTCATAGACATGCATCAGTGAACCACTTCCCTCCTCGTTTTTTTAGTCATGTTCCCTTCATCACCCATTATACTCCCTGCCACAACAGTGCTCGTTTCCCAAGGAATTTTGATTAAAAGTGAACTAACAGAACAAATACATGACGGCAGTAGCAGGGCTGCCAGAAACACATCAGCAATATATGTAATTTAAATCTGAGTACGGGGTCAGAGATTATGTACGAAACTGTCAGAGCGATCTAGCCTGCTGCAGAACTTCTGGTTTTCCTAGAACAGGGAACAAACTTCTCTACCAGCAATATAAAAAGAACCTCTGGAGAGGAGGGGTATCAGGCCATTTTACCTTCTAATAATTCTTCAAAGTCATCTACAAAGAACTCTCGTAATGGTGGCCGCTTGGGTCGTTTTAGGGTGTTGACCAGCTGCTGAATTTTGGCCGACACTCTGCTGCTCACTGGAACTCCTACAAGAGGGATCAATACATGTTTTCAGCAGTGGGCTGTCTCCGTCCTGCACCATCAGATATAAACAGAAGAGACACAACAACCCAAAGGCAAATTCCAATGATCAAGTGAGATGGCTGTGACACTTTGTCACCCCCAAGAACAAATGCCATATTCCAATAAAAATGGGATCTATCCAAGATGGGCGACGCCAATGGATCTGTCTTTATTTTCTAAACAAGCAACGGTCAAGGACAACTGGCAAAGGTCCTCCATTGCTGGAAGCCTTGGGGAAAGCTAAGAGTAAACGCAGCTACCAGATCAGTAATCAGCCTTCCCAGCATCTGTTCAGCCACAGAGCCACAGAAGTCTTTGGTATAACTCCTTCCCGGCTCTCAAGAAGCAGATTCTAATATTGACAACCATGATGTGAGTAACTTCGTCAACTGTTTGAGGTCACATGAAGGACTTCAGTCAAGTCTTCCCACGCCCTGAGAGTTCCCCTTCCAAATTCAAAACTTGTCGAACCCCTGTGTTGCACTCCCCCCCCCCAGCTCCTTATCTGGTAGAACTCTTCCATTTCTCAGCAGTACAAAAGCAGTATGGAGTCTGAGAACTCCTGCCAAACAGCTCGTTTTATTCATTCATTTACAAAATTTATATGTAGACTGCACTGCAGTAGTCTTATCTAGACGCAACCAGGGCATGTACTTAAGGGGCCAGATCTTTTCTGTCCAGGAAAGGCCACATCTGGCTAACCAGTCAAAGGTGGTCAAAGGCACTCCTGGCCACAGCTGCCAGCTTCTTATCCAGCAGTAGGACCAGGTCCAAGAGCACCCCCAGACTACGAACCTGTTCCTCCAAGGGGAGTGCGACCCTATCCAGAACAGATGACACCTTAAATCTTGGGCCAGACCTTCCACCCACCAGTAGCACTTCCATCCCATAAGGATTAAGCATCAGCTTATTAGCCCACCTCCACTCCAAAACTGCCTTCAGGCACTTCTCTACAGCCTCCTGGGGATAGGCCGGTATCACATTGGTGACAACCCAGCCCAAATTGCCGGAAGACCTCACTCGGCAGTTTCAGTACAGAGGACAAAATGGAGGCTTGCGGCATCCCAAATGCCAAATGGCTGAGCAACAGTCCTCCCAGCACCACCTTCTGAAACCTACCCTCTGGGTACCACTGGAACCACTACAAACCAGTGCCTCCCGCTCCCAGCCCAGAAAGGTGGTCCAGAAGGATATCATGGTCAATGGTGTTGTATGCCACTGAGAGGTCAAGAAGAATCAACAGAGTCGCAGTCCCTCTGTCCATCTCCAGTGCAAGTCATCCATCAGGGCGAGTAAGGCGGTTTCAGTCCCACAACCACACCTGAAACCAGATTGGAAAGAATCCAAACATTTGCTCCTGGGGCCCACACATTCTTCCTCTGTTTTACAGGACATACCATCCCCAGTTTCCATAAGTTCAGCATTTCCGTATTTGGGTGCCACCCTTGCCGTTGAACCTTGTGGTCTTTCTACTTGTATTGAGTGTTCCGACGTATACGTAGTAACATCTGGAGGTGCAGAATGATTTTCTGGGGGGGGGGGAAACAAAATTAAGAAGTTCATGTTATTTCTTCAAGCATTTTGAATCGCACTTTGTTACTATGTAAACCAAAGATGATATGTTCAAATTAACATTTTTGTCGTGTGTTGCAACACTGGATTCTAATGATACTTTTGTACCCCCTGCAAGCTCTTGTGAAGCATCTGGAGAAGTACAACTTAATTTCAAAGAAGGTTCAGGTTTCATATCTACCAAAACCAACTCAGAAAGAGTCTCAATTCTTGTAACTTAATTTCCATCGGCTTGGAAACAAAATTAACACATCTTAATCGTCCCTCTGTTGAAGCAGCTTACTGTACCTAGCTCTTGGAACAGCCACAAGGAAGTTATCCAAAATGCCAGTTATCAAAAGTGTATCCATGTTAGATGCAAACGTCACAATTTATTTTGTTTATTTATTTCATGAGATTTCTATCCCGCCCTCCCCCACAAGTGAGCTCAGGGCGGGTCATGACAAAGTGATAAAAATCTGAATCAATTAATTTATAAATGACAGCAGTCCAGTAAAATCCGCAGGTGCTGGGTTTATACTGCCTGCAACCTTAAAGGCTGGCTTATTGACAGGTGGGACCAGACCACACCCATGGTCACAGATGATAGCACGGATGGTGTAACAAAATGGCTTCCAGGCAGAGGCAGCAGTACCTTAAAATGGCTGCCAGTCTGGTAGTCCTCTGGAGGGGGGAGGTACTCCATATGGAACAATGGGGCTGCCATACCTCCCTGCCTACATTTCCCAGTAGCTTTAGGGGGAAAGTGCGGGAAAGTATGGACCCACCCCAAGGGCGGAGCCTAGCGGATAAACCTCCAGGGTGGCTTTTAGTCTCAGCCTAGTCTTAGCATTCGCCTGAGCTTTAACAGCAGCTTCAAGGGGTGCATACAAGTGGGACTCCTGCTACCAACACTCCGTGGTCAGTCCAGGCCACCATAAATCGTGGTGGACAGCCAGGAGGGTTAGCAGTATTGGTGAACAGTCCTGAGGAGGGCTAGAGTTTCTCTCTACCCAAGAGGAGGAGGAAAGCAAATCCTGGCCTGCAGCCACCCACTATAGAGGTAGAGAGGGTGTGTGTAGGGGACAGAGGAATTGCATTTAGATCGTGTTTATTTTCTGCCCAGGTTGAGTTGATGTGCCTGTGTTTATTTTCTGTGCCTAACTTGTATATGGCTTGTTGCCGTAATAATAAATGACTGACTGATTGTATATAGTTATAATAAATCTTTTTTTAATTATAAAGCCAGGTAGTGCCTTGACCACATAGTCCTCCCCGCTCAGCACATTACCAGAGGCAAAGGGAGGCCAGGGAACACAAATGGGCCCAAATCAGAGGGGTTGCCAACTCTCCAGGGGGAGCCCAAAGATTGAAATATCCACTTTCCCGGGTTGGGGGATCAGCCAGAGGGGTCTCACTGTCCCTCTAGGAAGGCGGTGTCAATTCAGTGAGTGGTGACAACGACAGAGGAAGGAAACAGCCCCACCAGGCAGGGTGGGCAGGCAATAACAGGGGCTTGCTAGCCACAGAACGGCTGCTCAGCCTCCCCGGCTGAGGGTGGGTCCCTGTTTCGTCACAGATGGTATAATGCACAGACAAAACCAGGTCAGAGCAGGGGAGGCCCACAGAATTAGACACCTGCCACCTCAACCGGGAGCAGGGGAGGCCCACAGAATTAGACACCAGCCGCCTCAACCGAAGTCCTGATGGAACAGCTCTGTTTTACAGGCCCCGTGGAACTGTAATAAGTCCCGCAGGGCCCTGATCGTAATAGGGAGCATGTTCCACCAGGCCAGAGCCAGACAGTGACCTCAGATACCACCACTAGGAGTTGCCAACTCTGAGCTGGGAGATTCTTGGAGATCTGGGGGTAAAGTCTAGGGAGGGTGGAGTTTGGGGAAGGGAGTGATCTCAGTGGGGTATACCACCATACAGTCCACCCTCCAAAGCAGCCATTTTATCCAAGGGAACTGATCTCTGTAGTCACGAGAGCAGGTTGTAATTTCTGGAGGTCTTCAGGCCCCATCTGGAGGTTGGCAACCCCAGTCGCCATATTCTCTTGAGCTAGGCACAAGTATACTGAAGCATCCGCAGAGGCCGAAATCCTATGTACGCATACACCAAAATAAATTGCCTTGGACTCACAAAGAATAGGATCGTGCGCCTCTTGAGTTGTACCCCTTGTTTCACAAGTCAACATCACAACAATTTGTATTAGTGAATCCTCAGAGAGCCTGAGAGGTGTCCATTTTTCCTTCTAAGTAGACCCAACAAGCTATGCATGCTGCTTCGCTATTTTTAGCTGTGTTATAGAGAAGAACTGAAATGGGAACCACGAGACTGCGTTTCCAGAAGCAAGCATGACTGGGTAACCTGCCTCGTGACGTTACTCAACAATTCGCAAGCTAATCTTCGCCTTTCACAGCTCAGTAACCCACCATGCCTTCCCAATCTATTTTTTTCCCCAGCCGCTTTTCAATTTGTACTCTTTTGCACAGCCTTTTCGATTCACACATTGCTCCAAGAGGCAAGAACCAACACTACCTCAGGCTTAGACAAGTTTACTGTTCAGAGGCATAAATGGTCAAAGCCCCGTCCACTCAGAGGGGCTGATGAGGCCATCTCCCTAGGTCAGTGGTGGCGAACCTATGGCACGGGTGCCAGAGGTGGCACTCAGAGCCCTCTCTGTGGGCACGCGTGTCATCACCCCAGCCAGGCCCAGACGATCATTAAAGTGTCGAAGTCTCTGCCAAATAATTTTAAGTAAATGAAAGCATTTGGGATTGCTTTCCTTACTTTGTTTGGATCATCTTAAGTTAAGGTATGAGTTGTTTTTTTCTAAAGTAAAACCTCAGTATTCAGGTTAAATTGCCGTGTTGGCACTTTGCAATAAATAAGTGGGTTTTGGGTCGCAGTTTGGGCACTCGGTCTCTAAAAGGTTCGCCATCACTGCCCTAGGTCAAACGGAAACCATGTGGAAGAGCTGCCACTGAGTTCAACCTAGGCGGGGTTTTCTAAAATGCACACACGCTGCCCCATCGTCCAAAGCTTCAACATGTCAGCCTTCAGAACAGTTCAACAGTTGAGCCATTATACAAAAGTCTTCTGGGGGGGGGATAAACTCATCACACTAAGCCTTCCGTTTGCTATTACCACTGCTGCCAAAGAAGACGAGCCAAGAGATGCAGGAAGGGAGGTGCAGACTGACAGACAAAACCAGCAAGTCGTTCACGCACACCTCACAATAATATTCTTATAACTGTCTGAAATGTGTGATTCTTTATGAAGCTGGCTTAGTGTGATTTTTTTATTTAATTGACCGCTTTGTCCATTCTTCATGCCTATAACCATTCAAAGGAAGATCAAAAGGGCTGGGACTACACATACCCATTCCCTGCCAGTTTCATGATCTCTGTAGATGAACTCACGCAAACACACAAAGCGGCCTTATCCTGAATCAGACCCTTGGCCCACCGACGTCAGCACTGTCTACTCAGACTGGCAGCGGCTCCGCAGGGTCTCAGGCTGAGAGGTCTTTAACGTCACCCATTGCCAGATCCTTTAACTGGAGATGCCAGAGATGGGACCTGGCCCCTTCTGCATGTCAAGCAGGTGCTCTCGCACTGAGCCACGGCCCCTCCCCAACTCAATAAACAAGCAGCGGAAGGGAACCTGAATATTAACTCGACATCCCGTACGTTTCCTGCCAGGGACGGCTTGCGAGTGAACCTGCTCGAAGCAATGCACTGACAGTTTCTAATTGCCGAGCTGCCTCGGAAGTTTAGTTCTGACGGGGAGGATGGAAACATATAAATATGTAAAATACTGAAGGTATGGAAGGGGGCAGGGGAGTAGAGATGTCAAGGCTTGTGGGAAGGCTCGAGCCGTTTCAGAATTACTAACGAGCCACCAAAAGGCCTTGCCAGAAAGAACAGTGCTTGCCTGCTTCTTGAAATGTAGCATCTGCCTCCCCCCCCCCCGAATAATCCATGTGAAGGGGGATAACGTATGGGTTAAGGACTCCTTAGACACAACGGGGAGAGCCTTCTTCTTGCATCTCCTATAAACAGGTTCTGTACACTTATGTATACCCTACATGTCTTCTTTTAAAAAGGCTGTGTCTTGAAAGTGGTTTAATTTTCCTATTAAACAGGGGGAAGAAAAGGACCACATAATTAAGGGACATCTTTTTGAAAGAGATTCTGTCCTGTCTTTCCACGAATCATTCATCAAGGCAGTTTACATTAAAAAAAAAATCAACATAAAGCTACTATCAAAAGAAACCCACAAAAAGACAGCACCCAAGCGCACAGAGCGCTGTTACCTTCCCACCGAAGTGGTACCTATTTATCTACTTGCAATTTCTTGCTTTCGAACTGCTAGGTTGGCAGGAGCTGGAACTAGAGATGGGAGTTCACTCCATCATGCGGCACCCGGGTCTCGAACTGCTGAACTACTGACTTTCCACAGTCTGCAGTTCAGCGTCTTAACCACTTGAGCCACCGCAGCTCCTTTTTTAGTTAGAGGCACCAAATTTCAGCATAGCTGCTGATGCCTCTCCTCAAACCCTTCCCCCCAAGTTTCACAAATATTGGACAATGGGGTCCAATTCTATGAGTCCCAAAAGAATGTGCCCCCATCTTCCATTATTTCTAATGGAGGGAAAGCATTTAAAAGGAACGCGGTCAATTTACATGCAATGGCAGCTCATCAGGAACGCGCCTTGGAGTTCCCTCTCCTGGAGCCTCCCTCCGCTCTCCTGGAGTGTCCTGGTCAGTCCCCCGTTGACTTGTCAGCCTCACCTGGCAACCATATCCACAAGACTAATTTAACTGGGCATTTAAAAGAGAGCAAATGTGCTCAGGACAATATTCCATAGTTGGGGCACCATCACAGAAGAGGCCCTGCTGCTATAGCCATCCGCCTAGTCAGCACCCACAGCAGAGCTTCAGCTGGTGGCATCAGCATAATTGACCGT